TGATGATCTGCCCTGTAAACTTTCATTCAATTCACAATAAAAACTAAAAAAAAAAAAGTATTCATTAAGACAGTACTTTACAAATCGGGCTACTAACCTCAAGGTCAGCAGTTTAAAACTACCAGTCATTCCGTGGGGAAAAAATGAGGCTTTCTGCTCCCGTAAAGATTTACAGCCTCGGAAACCCTGTGCAGCAGGGGCACTATGAATCTGAACTCCATGATACTTAACAACAACAACTAATAATGATCCCAAAAAGTAAGGGTTTACAATTGTTTTCAAGTTGGCAAATTCTGATCCAGTATTTACCATCACTGTGGAGTCCTGGTGCGGCGCTGTGGGTTAATGCGCCAGACTACAAAGCCGTATGAACTGCAAGGTTGGCGGTTCAATCTCACCAGCTGCTCCTCGGAAATCCTATACAGGGCCGCTATGGGTCGACCCGACTCGATGGCACTTAACAACAACAATTTAACATCACTGTAAGGTCGCTATAAATCAAAACTGACTCGATGGTCATGCTCTTTGTGTTGGGGTAATAACTACAAGGTTAACAGTCCAGAATCACCAGCTGATCTACAGGAAAAAGATGAGGCTGTCTGCTTCCCTAAGCATTTACAATCTCAGAAACCCTAAGAAACAACTGTACTCTGTCCAATAAGGTTGCTATGAGTTAAATCAACTCAATGGCAGTGGGTTTTTATATTATATATATCAAAATATGACTATCAGCTATATATTCTTCAATGAATGACTATCATATATGGAATATTTCAATTCTGTATCTCTCTTAAGACTACCAAATGCTATGATAATGAACAATTACAGAATCAACAAGTCTAAATGGTGAAAACAGAGTAACATTAACAACTTAATTTTTTTTTTTTAGATTCATGCTTACCTACTATACTCTTTTCTGGAGCTGGTGGCACAATATAGCCAACATGTAAATACTTGCTTGCTAATTTGCTATGCAAGCCAAGAAAGTCACTGAATCTTCTTTTAACTGAAAATTCACTCTTACTGAACATAGAAAGGGAAGTCTGCAAGTAAAAAGGAGGGAATTCAAATTTTATTAAGCTATTATTTAGAAGTTAATGTCATAACTAACTGAGAACACACAATAGTCTACTTTGCAAAAGAATGCAAGGTAACTAATGTAGTATATATAGATTTCTAACAGCAACAACAAAATATTGATATAGATTTTTTTCTTAAAAAGATATAAAATAGTTGTTTTATTCTATTCTTGACTTATCTCATCCACTCCGCTTTTATATATGGTAATGATTCTTAAATTTTTCTCTCTTACTGATATACATCCTCTGAGCTTTAGTCCTACACAACTATCCCTTGGTGTCCACAGAGGACTTGTTCCAGGACCACAGCAGATACAAAAATCCACACATGATCAAATCTTTTAAATAAAATGACAATATAGAGTTTGGTGTGGCGTTGTAGGATCAGCACTGTACTGCAAACCACAAGATTAGCAGTTCAAACCCATCAGCTGCTCCGCGGAAACCTTATACAGGGTCGCTCTGAGTCAGAACTGACTAGAAGGAACTTAACAACAACATATTCTTTAATCACCTATACATTACTTATAATA